TTCACTCATAATCCTATATTTTTACATTAAGTGCACGAGGGTTCTCGGTCTAGAAAGACTAGCACGTTTGTACAAAATTTTAAAACGAGCTTATTAAAAAAAGATGTAAAAAAACTGTCAAGATGGTTTCATGTTTACTTTTGTAAACTATAAAATGTTTGTTTAATAAATACTAATTTTAATAAATCTTATTATATGAATTTTATTTTTAAACAAGAATAAACCTTGTCAGTATGCGCGATGTCATTTATGACTTCGCAATAACGAAACGCAACACAAAAAGCTGCTTCATTGTGATAATTTTTGCATGGGCTAGTCAAATGTTTATTTTTTTACTTTACGAATTTCAAATATTATTTTCTCTAAATCCTTTGGTTTCCTAAAACTAAATTTGTGGGGGCCATCCTTTCCACTAGGTCTATCTTGAAAAATAATATTAACGCCCAACTCGACGTCAGCTATTCTAAAGTTTAACCTATATTGAAACCAACCCATTATTAAAAAGGCTATGCAGAAGTTAAGACTAGTGCAACAAATCTACGTCGGTAAAGGATAACACATTTTTGGACCGCTTACATGCATGCGATATTTTTTTATTTATTTGTATTTCTTGGCTCACTTGATATAATACACACATCAAAAGTGTCTAGGGATCAAGTACGTTTAAGAGTATTGCTGCAATTAGGGTTAATTATATTAACTATTTTGTATCGCTATTGATACTTTTTAGTGAGTTTTAACATTTAAATAAGGAATATTGTTTAAAATTCGATAATAAGAAGAAAATCGATTGTCAATGTGGTTTTGTATAAAAATGAGTTATAGCGTTTTGACAAAATCATTACAATATCTGCATCGGAACCGAAACAATTTACATTATTATGGAGAGACGACATCATTTAACCCGAGAAGTGATGATGCGAGCCGTCGGAATGTTGGAAGCTGGTTCCAGGCAACGTGCTGTGGCTTTCACTCTTAACACTACACAGAGCGTCATAAGTCGCCTCTGGACGCGCTATCGCATGACGGGCAGCGTGGCCGAGCGACATGGAGGACGATCTCGCATCACGACTCGCAGACAGGACCGGTATACCCAAAATACTGCTCGACGGAATCGTACCATGACCGCCATGATGTTGGTTACGAGGCTCCACAGCTCCTCAGGCTTGCTAATAAGCGATCAAACAATCCGAAATCGTTTACGTGAAGTGGGTCTGCGATCCCGAAGGCCGCTCAGAGTTCCACCTATTGCACCCTGCAATCGCAGGACCCGTTTACGATGGGCTCGCGAACACAGAAACTGGGAGGAAGAAGACTGGCGCTATGTGTGCTTTTCGGATGAATCCCGCTTCGGTATGAGACCTAAGGCAAGACGTACTCGAGTTTGGAGAACATCTGGACGTCATGAACGTTTGAGAAATTGTCAGGAAGTTCATCCATATGGTGGGGGAACAATAATGATATGGGCCGGTATTTGGATCGGCGGAAGAACCGATCTCATTTGGATCAGGGGTAACCTCAATGCTCAAGTTTACGCAGAGAGGACTGTTTCAGATGTTATCATCCCTTTGCGAGGCCAGTTGGGTGATTCATTTCAACTAATGCATGACAACGCACGTCCACACACGGCTAGAGTCGTAACACGCATTCTTGCCGAAGCTCGTATCAACGTTCTGCCGTGGCCTGCTCAATCGCCAGACCTCAATCCAATTGAGCACGCATGGGATATGCTTCACAGAAGAGTTGTGCCGAGTATGTATACCGTACATACTCTACAACAATATTTTGACTTGTTACAAAACACATGGGCGGCCATTCCTCAAAGTGATTTTGATGAACTCATCTTAAGCATGCCAAATCGCTGTAATTGTGTGATTCGTGTTAATGGTGGAAATACAGATTATTAATTTTCTTATCTTTACAATAAAAATGAGCAAAATCATCATTTTCGCCATTTTTTTGTCATTTAATTGACGCCGTTAATTTGAGTTTTTTCCCACAATTTGCAAAAACATCAATTTTAGTTTATTTTAATTAAATATAGGGGTAAGCGGTTAAATAAAACATAAGCATTAAAGTAAGAAGTCGTCCTGGAAGACTGGATTTGGTAAATATTGCTTAAATAATTTTTATTTCAAAAATATTCACTTGATCCCTAGACACTTTTGATGTGTGTATTTACATACAATAAATTGAATGCTATGAAGATCTTATCTTATTGCACGACTGGTAATGAGTGAACACAGCTTGCAAACACAACTTAAACATAGATAAATCCCTGAAAAAATCTTTAAAAATCCCTGAGTACTGGTGTATTTCCCCGTGCGTTGAAGAAATCGATTGTTGTACCCATCCACACAAATGGAAAAAGAGACTGTGTATCCAACTATAGACTAATATCATTATTACCAGCTACATCTAAAATATTTGAAAAAATAATCAACAAAAGACTCACTAATTATCTAGAAACAAAAAATATCCTCTCGGAGTCACAATTCGGTTTTCGGACTAGGTAAATCGGCGGATGATGCTCTCCACCGTTTCACGGACTTCATTATGAAAAAATTAGATCATAAAAAGAAGCGCGTAACTATATTTCTAGATCTTGCAAAAGCGTTTGACATAGTCTCTTTACCAAAACTTACGGGGAAACATGATACAATGGGTATAAGGGGAACACAGCTCAATCTTGTGAAGAGCTATCTGACAGATCTCATTAAGTAAGGATTGGTTCTGTTGTGAGTCGGGAGCGCGGTATTACTTTCGGAGTCCCTCAAGGTAGCACTATCGGCCCTACCCTCTTCCTATGTTACGTAAATGACCTATGTCAGATGAAATTAGGAAATTGCAACATCGTATCATACGCAGATGACACGACTCTAACGTTTTACGACGACACATGGGAAGGGGTTTTTGAATGTGCCCAAGAGGGTTTCAATACCGTTATAAAATGGCTAGCCGTGAATACTCTATCCCTAATATTGACAAAACCAAATTCCTTACCTTTTCTATCAGAGGTTCCATTCCTTTTCCGTTTTAGTTGGAGCTCCACTAACTGTGCTTGCCCGATCATTGAAAAAGCCTCACAAACTAAGTACCTAGGCATTATCATTGATGACCATCTCTCATCTCTCTTCAAAGATCACATATCCAACCTAACACAAGACAAAGAGTACGGAAACTGACATATATTTTTAAGAATCTTCGACATGTCATGACATGGATAAAAAATTATTCAAATTACTCTATCTAGCACTGGGTCAATAGGTAATAACATATGGCATTTCAACTTGGGGTGGTGCTGCAAAAAGTCATTTGTTGCAACTAGAAAGGGCACAAAGATTGATACTTAAGGTGAGCGTTTTCAAACCATGACGATACTCAATGGTTACCCTATACCAGGAAGTCGAGGTACTATCAGTCAGGCAGCTCTTTATTTTAGCCATATTGTAGAAACAACACGCATAAATGCCATACAACCCTGAACATGCTAACGCAGACAAAAGAAGGCACTATTCAGTATGCCACACAAAACAATTTAAGACCTCATTTATACAAAGATTCTTCTGCTATCAAAGACCCAGGCTGTATAATGATGCAAATAAATTATATAATGTGTATAAAATGACAAAATGGAATCGTAAAAATAAGATGTCAACATGACTGCGTACTCTAACATATGAACAAACGGAGATACTTCTAACTACGCGCGCGCACATACACACACACGCTAACTCTCTAACACACACTCTCTAACACGAATTATACGTAAAATATGTATGTTTTATTAACATTGTAATAAAACTATATATATGTGTGTGTGTAATAAAACTAGTTATACATAAAAGAAAATAGTTAAACTTAAATGTACAAATATGGATATAAACCTGTATAAACCTATATAACACTTATTTAAACTAATGATAATATTATATCAATATTTTTGGAAAAAGAAATGTTCAAAAAGTAATTTCTAAGTTATTAATGATGTTTAGTAATGTAAGCTACTATAACTTAAGTAGACTTAAAAACTGTCCAATCAAGAGGGGGGACCAGGAGACCTAAGACACAGGGGTGCCCTAGTTTAGGCTCCTGTCTCTCACAATTTAAATTTTGTTAACTCTGTGCCTTAAGTTTGTATTTATTTGCTGTGAGAGAAAATAAAATTATTACTATTACTAATTAGATAGTCCTAATTTTTTAATTTCTTAATATATACGTATGTAGTCAATATGGTACCCACAATAAACAGACACATTTGTTGAAGACTACGTATTTTAGTATGCCTGCAAGTCTAGATTTGATTGTTCAATTTAGTATTTTGTTAAATAAATTGATAAAACAAAAATATTTCTTATTTTCAGCAGCGAATTTAACTTCGCAACAACAAACGAGACGGGCTACAGTTGTTGTCACACAAAGAATAATCAAGACGGGAAAAAAACTTATCTGTGTGTCGAACAAAGATTTAATAACGTTGACATTTAATATGTTTATACGAACGACGAGCCAATTAATTAAAAATGTTCGTGTCAAGATTATTCAATTCTGAAGAGAAAGAAGCGAAAAGACTAGGGTATAGACTTACATACCGTCCTACAGCGCTATTGAGGTCATACCTAGGAAGTACATTTACCTATTCTGCAGTAAAAGGAGATATTTTAATTACTGAGTCTATGAGAGGAAGTTCAATGAGTTCCGGAGGTAGCTCAGGAAGTTCAGTGAGTTCCGGAGGTAGCTCAGGACATTTTATGAGTTTTCTAGGAGGGGATTATATAGGACATGCCGCTATAATAATCAGTGAATTTAACGTGCTGGAAATGGTCGGAGGATCTCAGATACGCAGTAACAATAAACTAACAAATATGAAAGATTGGTTTCATGGTCTAAAGAACCACTACATTATTACTATATATCGTTGCCCTGATTCAATTGCTGCTAATTCCGCTGCTGACTGGGCTTACAAAAATTATTATAATAATACCGGTGGACTTACAAAGACTAAACATGTAACATACAAAATTTCAACTAACTTCACTTCAACTAACTATAGTTACTGTTCTAAATTAGTTCTGCAAGCGTACCATTATGGAAATCCGGAAAAAAATGTCATAGATACACGCACGTTGATACCATTATTCCCTTTTGATATTCTTGTCGCTATAGTTCCAAATAAAATTCCTTCTTATTTCACGAATAAATATGCCTTACAAAGAATTTACGCAGGTAAGCATTGAAGTAAGTCGTATATATCTTCAGTTCTTTTAGTGGTTAACGGTTTTGGTGACTCAATCACCTCATATTTAGTGTGGGGACAATTTTATTTGATTTTCAAAGATATAATTGATCTATTGTAAATGTGCACTTTTTTAAATAAACGACGTTTTTTTGTGTTTGATACTTACATACATTTTAATTGTTCCATCCATGTTAGTTGATCTACGGATACATTATAAATGAACTGTATTCAAGGTAACAAGTTTAAGTTTAAATTAATATTTGGTATTCAAAAATAATATTTGATCCTCTTTTTTATTATTTGTCTTTTTTTAACGACTGATGGCATTTATAATCAGTATATCTTTTGATATTGATCGCCTAATAAATCTCGGTTGCTAGGTTGCACCCTTCATTCAATAGGTTAGGTAGGTATGAAAAAGTAAAAAATGTTAGAAGCCAATATGCTTACCTTTCTGAACATGTTTTGAGGTCAATATATAAATAAGAATCAAAATTTCAGATTAAAATGTCCATTGATTTAAATTGTTTTATGTCTCAGAGAAAGAGGATCAATCATAACAATGAAATCAGCTTAGATTTTGCAAATGCTGCAAATTTAACCTCCTAAGACCCCGTGTACGTCGAAATGTACATAATATGTGAAGTGATTCAGATCCAGACAATATTATATAAACGCCCAGTGTACATTCCGGCAATGCCGGGTGAAGTGATTGTCATAAATTCAGGCATTTTCGTGTCGACCGAGGTTTATAATTTCATTTCATTTACGAAGCCGTTTTTTTATAATTCAATCTTTTTGACCCCTAACGTTTTTAAATATATACTCAAATTTAATTTTTTATTGTTTTATTTCATTAGCTTTATTGATTTGCTACCTTGCCTTTAGTGTATCAAGAAATTGGTGATAGTAATTAGTAATATGATTAAAAATACAGATAAATTTATTCTGTATATAAAAAAAAAACTTAACCTAAATATTATATGAATTTTATAAAATAACTTTATAATTACATATATGCGCTAGACTATTGCAAACAATGAAGTGGTTGTATCAGTGTAGCCAGGATTGGGGAATCCTGCCGCTCGGACAGAAATGGATCCTGGCGACGGTAGAGGGCTGCCAAGTGCTCCAGGCAGTCTACTGCGATATGAAAACAGGGTGAACATCTATTCCCATCCTGGACTCTGGGAGGGTCCGCGCAAACGGACGGCACAGGTGGGCTCGCGGAGCGTCACAAGGTGCTTGGAGGAACACCCCCGGAGTTTTAGTGGGCGGGCCTCTCTTTTTAGTGAGGAGAGTCCCACTTTTTCTTTTTCCTCCTAGGTTATACAGGGTTTCCCTAATGCGGGGCTATATACAAACAACGCACACACATTGTTTGTTTGTTAAATACATTCTCATTTTTTTATTACAAAATAATAGATGACTTTGCGATTGTAACAAACATCGAACGCTTTCTTGTCTAAACATATCGCACTGTTAATACTATAGTGTATTAACTCAAAAAATGTAATTTCTCAGAATCGACGAAAAACGATTTATTCGCTTCCCGTAAAAGATCTTTATATAAAAGATATTTATAAAATTTATGCTTTTCCTACTTGCCAAATATACACATTTAAGAATAAAAGAGAAAAACTAATTTCATATTTTTGAATAAGGATTATTTTGGCCAGAACTAGCTTACATAAAGCGTGTCTCATTTTGAGTTAAGTAGATATCTTTTACTTGTTTTTTTACAATATTCTAACGACGGTTTTAATGACGTGTAGAGAATTTAATTTTATATTTATACTCGTATTTTCGTTCAACAATGGTATACTCTTGAATTTCCCATATTTTGAGTTATAACACTATTGTAATAGCAGTGCGGTATGATCAAACTGTCTAACAAATTAAATATAATTATTGGTTTCCCGTTTACGATCTTAATTTCGCATAATATCAATAACAATATAAATAGGCATCGTAAAATGTGGAATGAGATGAGATGTGAATTAACAAAGCTCCGGGCACTTGTGTAGGTAATCCAGGTAATGCACTACCAATACATTTATAAAATCCAGACGCTATAAATTTTTCATTTCTGAATTCTATTCCAAACTCTCCTGAGTGCCAGGAAAAAACAATTTCGAATTGTTGTGTTAATAGTAGGTTCAGCTTCCATGAATTAACAAATTACGAAATTTTAAAGAGAGGCAACTCGATTTTTTCTAAGACGCAACTCAGATCTTTGTGAGTTAAAGCTTGTTAAAACCAGGCGCACGACTTGTTCATCCCGTCTTTTAGTATCATAAAAAAAAGGAATCAGTTAATATGAGTAATTTAGGCCTCGTAATGGATGGAAGATTTAAATTTGAACCACATGTTGGTCACTAAATTGCCATCTGTTATGCATCGCTAAAACGGCTGTATAAACTAAGACGTCTTTAAACACGTTAGCGCGGCTTAGACTATTTGATAGCCTGGTATTGTCTAATTTGGATTATTGCGACATAGTCTTCGGGCCTTGTTTACTAAAGAAAACGAGAAAGATTCAGCGGGTCCAAAACTCTTGTGTACGAATTCGCTATCCAGTCCGTCCACGCTCTCCTATTATCCTTTCTCTTAATTCTTTTAGCCTTTTAAATATGTTCAATAGGTGTAAATTAAAATTGAATTGTCTGATATTTATCCTGAGACATTGCTGTACTAAAGTGCTATCATAACTGCATTAATTTGTAGCAAATCGTTTCTAGGTATTGTTTTAAGGTTTTCCTAAGATACATTTATGTTGAATTGATATTAAATTATTTTCTGTGAAATTACTCCACTAGTTTATTATAATTATTAATACAAAGATTGAAAACCGATTCGTCGTATTCGAACCGACGTCTCCTAGCAAACCATGCCAGACGCTATGCCAACTAAGCCACGGAACGAACCAGTGGACTCATGAATTTTTCTATGTGCTTGTTGTCGGGTTTTTGTATTATATATATATTACTATGCTCTCAAAACAACTTAAAAATGTCCCACTTTAAAATGTATACTTTTTGTGAAGTTTGATAATTGTTAGCAGCGAATGTTTATGTATCAAAGTGGAACCTGAAACAGCATGTAGAGCTGAGGCTCCACCCGTTTTGATTAGCCCTAGATTGCACTACATTTCCGAAACTGTATCTACCTTTATTACCCTTTTTATTATAAATTTGCTTAGGAGTAAATGTCTTATATCTATTTTAGACTCTCGTGTTATTATTATTATTAACATCTTTTCTAGAAATATCAATTAGGTATTGAAAATGAGTACCAACTTTTCGGATAGAAATCACGTATATTTGCTATTTTCAAACAAACCAAATTGATTTACAGGTCCCATGGTCGCGTCTGAGACCATAAAACCGATTGAAATAACTACATAATCTTTGTAAATCTAAATGTTCTACTAACAATAATTTCCTTGAAGACCCTTTATTAAAGCTTGGCTACAATCCTCCTCCTCAATGCGAAACTACCGCAAACATTGACATACATTGATGGTGCAATAACCGCCATTCCTGAAGCCACGTTGTCGGCAATTTGCAATGCATTCGTAAAATACACATCGGTTTGGAAATGTTGGACCTTGTATTGTCTCCCTTCTGGTTATGCTGTGAGATGATTCTGTAATCAAAATTTTAAAAACTTATTAATCGTGTTGTGATGAGTACAAGCACTTGTTTTTGGTAAAATTATATGCCTGAAAGTGTTCGACTGCTCTTTATTATTATTCTTTGTAATTATTACGAAACTTAATTGCTTTTAAATTATTTTACCAAAATAAAATCGTTACGGAACCAATCACTATGCATAGAGAGATTTATTACATATACTTAACAATTTTGTCTTTTTACATCTCTAATGAACGCTCAATTTTCCAACTTATAAACCTTTTTTCACTGTCAATATTACCAACTACTCCTAGAGTTGCACGAAAGGAGCCTCGCGATGGCGTATTATTCATGTCCGCTGTGATATGATGACGGCAAACATGCCAGCTACTACTAGCAACGCGAGTCCGGAATTAACTTCTAGGCCACAATATTATAGTGTATGCTATCGATATTACCCTAAAAAGAAGGTCAACTACTATATACAACTCATTAAACAGGATATATAAATGTTTTAATATTATAAAGCAGAGTATGAAATAGTTGTTTATATTCATAAGTAGGATTAGCTCCAACCTATTCATGAATTTAAATAATTTTTGAGGTACAGCTTCAGGTGCTACAAGTATACATTTTTGTTCCATTCAATTTAAAAGTAAACAAAGACATATTTACGATTAAGTAATTCCAAAATAACAACAATTAATTAGGATCAAAATAACATATATATAAGAGACGAAATTTAGTATATAAATTTAACATACCATCTTTGTTTTCAGCTGACACAAAAGCTAATCCGAGCAACATTATTACTAAATACACTCTCATGTTTCCAGCGTAGGTGTATTAAACGGTATCAAAGAGCGCCTTATATATACATCCTCTCTCATATGCAGCAACGCTGTACCTGTACTACAGTATTGTTGTTACAAAAGATGCAGCTAACGATCTAATGGATGAAATTTCCATTGCTGCAGAAGTAGAAAAGATTGTTAGAGTGTCCAAAGTACAAGCGGTAATAGGTATTGATGTGAATGGAGGCGATCGTAAAGATAGTGTCGGCGCGACGAAGCAAATAAATATTGGATGCAGACTTGATGTAGAGGGAATACCCGAAGTCAATTTCTCTGGCACAGAATTGCAAGTGATAAATCTATTTGTGACACATACAAATTGCGACTCTGCTTTCAACTTGGAAGGATGATATTCAAACGTCTACGCGTGAACTAGATAATAAATACATGGTACCTTGTATGAACTTTGATAACGTATCATTCTATTTTTAAAGTTTGCGGAATTTATAGATATATTTTATTTAGAGAATATAATAAAGTGTTGCAGTTCTAAGGACGGTTTGTTTGAATTAGCTGATGTTTTGCTTATAACACTTAAGCCTTTTGTTTTTGTCGAGATTTCAGTTATGTCGTCCGCAAACTAAAACACGGCTATGTATGTGACAAAACCATTTTTTCAGATTAATCATAAAAGAACCATAACCAAGTTTTAGAATATTGAAATTATTTAATGATATTTTAGCTTTGCGTCATTAGGGT